GAGTAGAAAAATATTGGGATAACTGTTGAAAATGAGCTACATTACAATAGCATGTCAAAATGTCAGGTTTCATGCAGATATCAGATAACTATAATGAAATGAGACGAATTACTGCGTTACCTCAAGATGGTTGTGCCAGTAATAAAAACATGCTGTTTTATGTCGATATTCTAATAACCACTGTAGAGTGGAGAGTTACTGCAACATTTTATGGGAATAATTCTTATTCGACATTCTGTGTTACACACACACACACACATATGAAAGGAGATATTATATAATCATTTGTCATAATCCTTACTGATGTGCACTGCATTAAACTTACCAAGGGCATCATATAGTATACAGATGACTCTAGAATGAAAGAATGCGCAGGTGCTGGGGTCTATAGCAGTCTCCGATGAGGACAGAGCATTACTATACCCTTTGGAAAAGTATTTGCAATACTTGCCTGTGTTTAAGAGAATACGAGAGCAATTATCAAAGCAAATCCTTGAAAAAAATATCATGGGAGTTACCTATATCAATTCCATTCTGAATACACTCTGTTGGTTGATTAAGAATGTGAAAAATTGGTTCCAACTTATTTCCAAGATTTCCTCTCTTTGTTTCTATATTGTTATTTATTGTTATCATTATGTGTCCTTGAGGAAATCGATGATTTGTTGCTGATTCACAGAGAACACTAGCAACGATGAAGTACAAGTGGCACCGACTTAATTCTTCATAGAGTGCGATTCTAGCACAAAACATTAAAAATTATTGCTTTTGGAGCCACATTAACTGAAAATTTGATACATCTGATATACAGTGTGTGCCTTGATAACATCGAACAAATTCATCGGGTGATTATGTGTTAAAAATGCAGGTAAGTTGTTTTTGGTAAAAACATTTTTGATAATCCTCTCCCCGGGAGAGTCAAACATCCCCCCGAGGATCATCAAAAAACAAGGCTTCCTTTTTTATTTCCCTTGTATATTAATCTGAGACCCAAAACTCAGGAAATATCATTTGTCTACAAAAATACACATTAAAAAATGTTTTCAGCTCTGAATTATGTTTAAAACGGGTTGAAATCTTCAACCTCTGAGGTATTTCTTCTTAAGACTTCTTTTGGAAAATGTATCTTCTGAAAAAACGTGCCTGAAAAGCCAAATTCATTAACAAACTTCTATGAATGTTGGCCTAAAAAAACTTGTGACATAAAATATCAGGCTCACTTCAGGGTTGAAAACATTCCAAGATGAGTACTTCTTTGATAGATGATGTACATTAAGTTTCTTGTCTATAGCTTGATCATCAGGGGAAAGAAAAAACCACTATATTTCATTTTCAGGTTTCAACTTTCTCGGTGAGAGGTCTTTCAAACAATCGTTAACCAAACACCTACCTCCTTTAGTATCACGACATAATCAATCCTTGAATTATTTCGATGGCATTGAGATGATTTTTTGTATACGGGCTGATTAACGGTGAATGGCACATTGAACGTTTCTGCAAAACGCAACGTAGGACTCTACTAGAAATGAGGTTTTCCGCAAATCGCTAGGAAATTTTGACATTCCTGTCAAAATTTCTTGAAGAAAAAGTCAGGACTTCCTTGCTGTAAGGAAATGTCATTTCCTTACTGTAAGGAAATGATATTTCCGTACAGTTGTTAGTGTTCTACATAAATGATTGAAAACACATTGCTTATAAGGAATTAATTTATATTTTGAAAACATCAAGTCATTGCTGAATACATTTTCAAGATCAATTTGTTATATTTACAGTAATTTGACAGTTAGTACAATAATTATTGAACATTGGAGGAACACTCTCAGAACTATGAAAAACATTTTGGACAACATGCGGGGTGGTAGGGTTTTTTGTTGAATATTTTGTACTGTGAAAATTTTATTTGCCACCTTAACCTTATTGTTAAGCGATTCTTCGATATATCCTTCAGCAACGTTTGATGACTTCCATCCGCCATGCCTCTTCAAACTAGTTATGTCGGCACCAGAGTCAACCAATATTGTTGCAGAAGACCGACGAAAGCAGTGACCAGATATTTTGTCGGATTTACCAAGTTCAAATAAGTAGCAACTATTTTGGGCATTTTTCTAAATTGATGAATTCCTACCACTTGTCTACAACCCTTTCCGCTTTGATATTTGAAGAAAAATCCGTCACTGTTTATATTTTCTGGTCTTAACGAAACATACTTTCGATAAACATTCAAGTAGATCTGATTAGTTACAAATGATCTTGGTTTGTTGGTTTTCGAATCAGGTATGCTGATTAAAAGCTTAGATTCTAGGTCTTCTATATCGTGTACAGTCATTCGGACTTACTCATCCATTCTACAGGCCCCAGAAATACCAAATATTACAGCTACCTAAAAAATGAATAATGGTTTAATATAAATAGGAATTAAAACCTTATAAATTACCTTAATCATTGAATTTTCTTTATCTGGAGCTTCCTGGATAAATTTTTCAATTTCTTCCTTCGTTAAAATCTTAGATTTCTATGCCCTATAACCTTGAGCCTATCGTTTCAATAAAGAACGAAGTTTTGAGTATGTAGATATATCTACATTGTGTTTAATTGCAAGGGTTGACTTCAGCATTGAATAATTGGCCATTATGTTGAAGATTTCATCTTTTCAACCAAAGGTCTAGGAAGTATGTGCATGCGATAATCCATAAAACGTCTGTATGCATTTTCGTACTTTTCTCTTGATTTCTTTGGCAATAATTCTAATGAAGCAGTATTCACTGCCTCAACCAGCTCTGGAGGAGTCCCAGGAATGGAAATTTCATCATCACTTATCATTTTACTTTCGAGAACACCAGCAATTGAATTTATAAGCGTCAAGTATAGTGAATAAAAAGTTAAGATAGGGTCATCGAAACCGTTTTGACCAATTATGAATAGTTTCGACAAAAAAAATCTTCATGTTGAAAAATCCCGATTTTTCACAACCTTCATTTCTGTAATTGTCGTTGCTAGCCCTCATGCAAGGGTAATAGGTCAATTGAATCAGCTCTCCAGGGAGAATCTGTAAATGGAATAATATTCCATCCAAAAAATCAAAGTTGTTTCTACTCTTCAATATAAGCAGCAACGTCGCAGCGCTGAGAATATTTAAGATAGTTGAAGCACAACTAATCAAACAAGGCATCAAATCTTCAGAATAATTTCATGTTACGTTCTTCAGAAACGTCTAATGTGACTGCCACCGTGAATCAGCCTGTATAGATTATTCGAAATGAGTCATTCCTTTACCAAATCAATTCAAAATTTATTCATGCAAATTCAATTTGCTGTAGAGAAATTCGACCAGTCCAAGTATCAACTATACAATAATACACCCGATGTTTCGAAGTTGAGGAGAAAAATCATTTCTATTCATACATTTTTCAAACAAGGTGTCACTGCCTATCGTATGATCCTTCTCTCAGCATTATGCAGCATTCGAAAAGTGAAATGTCAAGGGCAATAACATTTTGGGGCAAATCATCAGTGTTAGTTGAAACTAAACAGGGTGTCGTTTGATGATATGCTTATATTCAAGGAGCCGATTATTCGACCAATTTCGATAATTAAACTTCATATGAACGTTTCTCGTATACTACGTCCTAACTTTTATGATACAGGTTGTCGATGTCGAAAATATGCATAGATTTTTTTTTGTCCACCCTGTATCTTTTCGTGATGGCAAAATTCAGTCTGCTTGGTGACTGAATCGAAACGAAAATTTCCGTTTTTTCTCCGAAATGAAACGTTCAATCGAATATCAACAAGAAGATATTTTTTGTATATAATTGAATAGCCATTCATCGCATTGTACGAACATTGAGAAATTTACGTTGTTGCTCACTTTTGAGTGAAATATAAACAAAACAATATCCGTAAGGGTGTTACTGGTAGAGAAAATGAGAATTTGTGTACATCATTGAATGCACCTCGATTTATGAAAGACGTGTACAAAATTTCATGAAGATGTATACAATATTGTCTCATTTATTATCAAGAAACTGAATATTTTTCAAAACTTCACCCTGTATCTCAAAAGTTAGGCTTCAAAATAATTGTAAGCTTCAAGATATTTTCATTGCATGAAGGACTTTTATCAGACCATACGCGCGAATAATTTTTATATTTATTCATGTGACTATATTTCCTTGCAGGCTACTAGACTGGGTAACTGTCAAATCATACGATCTCTATGATCCTGACACCCCCTATACAGGTATCCATAACGCCCTTTCGGCATCTTCTAAAGATAACGAAGATGAAAAAGCCCATCGGAATATGCACGCTATCGCTAATAACTGGCTAGCTGCTGGACTGAGCAAAGAAAAACTTGTACTGAGTATCGCTTTCCACGGTAGACTTCTGATTTTGACAGATGACGACAATCATGCTCTTCGTTCACCAATAATCGGGCCAGGACCAAATAAGGGTTTTCTGAGATATAATGAAGTAATATATCGAACATCAATCCCAGGGCACTTTCTCTTATACAATCCAATTTTATTTTAGATATGTTCGAAATACGGCGGATACGTGAAAATTTCCGTTTTTTCTCCGAAACGAAACGTTCAATCGAATATCAACAAGAAGATCTTTTTTGTATATAATTGAATAGCCATTCATCGCATTGTACGAACATTGAGAAATTTACGTTGTTGCTCACTTTTGAGTGAAATATAAACAAAACAATATCCGTAAGGGTGTTACTGGTAGAGAAAATGAGAATTTGTGTACATCATTGAATGCACCTCGATTTATGAAAGACGTGTACAAAATTTCATGAAGATGTATACAATATTGTCTCATTTATTATCAAGAAACTGAATATTTTTCAAAACTTCATCACCCTGTATCTCAAAAGTTAGGCTTCAAAATAATTGTAAACTTCAAGATATTTTCATTGCATGAAGGACTTTTATCAGACCATACGCGCGAATAATTTTTATATTTATTCATGTGACTATATTTCCTTGCAGGCTATTAGACTGGGTAACTGTCAAATCATACGATCTCTATGATCCTGACACCACCTATACAGGTATCCATAACGCCCTTTCGGCATCTTCCAAAGATAACGAAGATGAAAAAGCCCATCGGAATATGCACGCTATCGCTAATAACTGGCTAGCTGCTGGACTGAGCAAAGAAAAACTTGTACTGAGCATCGCTTTCCACGGTAGACTTCTGATTTTGACAGATGACGACAATCATTCTCTTCGTTCACCAATAATCGGACCAGGACCAAATAAGGGTTTTCTGAGATATTATGAAGTAATATATCGAACATCAATCCCAGGGCACTTTCTCATATACAATCCAATTTTATTTTAGATATGTTCGAAATATGGCGGATACGTGAAAGTTTGGGATGATGAACAGAAGTCACCGTATAAATATAAGAATAAAGAATGGTTCAGTTACAATGACGAGAAAGCAGTTAAAAAAAGGGTGAGTTCTATTATTCCATGGTGAGAATCATATTACGCAGTCATACCTGCCACCAACAGTTAACTAGTATGTCCTTCATTATATAGGGTGTTCAAAAATAGAAAAGACAGTTTTAATGAACATGAGTCGAAAAATGTCTCCTGAGGAAGCTTCGGCTTCCTGGAAGGGGATTCCGAAACGCCATGTGATTAAATGATGCAATTTGGTACAAGGATTACATTTTTCATGCTCAATACGGTGAACATCAATTTATTCTAATGTTTCATTCAGGAGCGTATGATACATGCAAAAAGGGACTACATTGAAAATTGGTCTAACTTTTTCGTATGCATATTTTTAAATAACTACCAGTTAAATTTTTGTGCATGTTTGTTCTATCACCACAGCGACTCATTGCAATGTTATGCATAATATCTGAGATGTTAAAATATTTTCAAATCGCTTCTAATCGATGGTATATATGATCGGTACGGAACAAGAGTACAATTTTTCTGTAGAGAAGTGTGAATTTCTATGATCCGAGATTAAATTGTCGAAAAATATGCATACAAAATATTTTGAGCAATATTTTGTAGTCTCACCCTGAGTTATTAACTCCTGAGTGTAATTTTGAAATGTAAATGCAAACTGTATTCTCAAATCGCTTGGAGTTCCACGAATATTGAAGAAATATGATCTCAAGGAGCCTTCTATCAGGAGGCCGAAGCACCCTCAGAATCCAGTTCTCGCGTCTCATGTTCATTGGCACTTCTCTTCCTATTTTTGTTCGTAGAAGCCGCTGGTGGAGTTTGGCAGGCTAATTTCGAGACACCCTGTATACCATCCAAATTCCGATTAGAAATTACTGGTTCCTTTAAAAAAAAACACTACCAATAATTATATTACTGCTGGTTCACACATGGTTCAAAAACACAGGTTTTGTTGCGCGTTAATACGCCCATACGGTCGCAAACCTCGGACAGAGATATACAGGGTGTTCAAATGGAGATAACTCCCTTGCTTCTGAATGAATTGGGTTAGTTCAGTGTAGAAATGTCGTGACAGCATCCTTTTTCAAGATATTACTTCACTTCGGAATTCATCCGATTTCCTTTTGAGGAAATGGGATATGTTGATATATTCATATTGTGATTGATATTTAGTGTTGATTGTAACATGGGATGAATTTTCAATTGAAAATAATCATAATTTTCAAAAAATATAACTTACCTGCTTTCGGTTTCGGTGGATAGCTGGATTGATTGATAACGAAGTAAGTACCTACCACCTAGCTACTGACATTAATGAAATTGTTAATTGTTATTGACACATCGCCCAAGCGAAAAAAACAAGGTCATCTATCAACATACCTATGAAAACCGTGCGATCGATCTCTTTAGGCACACGTGTGTAAGGAGAAGCTTACTGCCATTGTTTTGTGTACAATATTCATCACTTACAGTAGTAGTCGTAGGAAATAGTATATTATGCAACAAGTATTATAAACGTCCTTTTAGTAACGAGTAGTTTAAGCACGAGCGGAGCAGAGCGGAGCAAGTGTTTAATAAACGAGTATCTAGAAGAGTTTATAAACGCGTTACATACTATGATTTTTCTACGAACTCCGAAAATTACATTATCATACCTGCAATTCCTGCTAACCAACAAAATAATTCGAAAGGAATGGGAATTGAGAACATAATACATACAACTGCATGCAACCAGCGAGACACTTATAAGTGATATTGGTTGTAGATGTGTCCAGTCCATTGCTTACTAATCTTTGTTTCACGTTTATTGTCATACTCAGCGCAAGATAAATAAATGGTTCTTGAAGATGGATGCTTCATTTTTATACTTCTTGGAAATATGCAAGTACCAGAACATTTTCTGCGATTTTACTTTCGTCTACATTCCGCATATATTTTCAATGGAGAACTCTGATACAAACAAATATTGTTTGAATAATTCTGATACAAAATTTGAAAATAATAGTTGACAGTTAATACAATTGATAGACCAGGCATGTCCCAAATTACTGAAGCTGTGTTTAATGAACTGTGTTGCCATGGTAATGTGTTTAAGAAATCGTGTTGCCATGGTAACGTGTTTAATATTTTGAATAAATCACAGATCGTCAATCCGTGATTAATCGATCATTTAGCGTGGTACATATCCGTACGCTAAATGTCATGTTAGTCATGTGAGTAGCTAAAATCTTTTATACATTCCGATAAAGCCAAAATATCTTCTCACAAATAGAGAGATACTCAGATAAAGTTATTACAACAATAGTTCATAAAATGAACGAAAATGGTACATAACGAGAGAAAAACAACTAATTTCCTGGCTATGCGCCACGCAGAACATTGAATTACATCCTTCAAAAATCTATGCAATAATTTGTATAGACGAATAAAATCGCAAGTTTTTCCTTCCCAAACACTGAGCTGCGCCTAAGTAGTTCAGGAACTCGTGACTACTTGCAGACCAGTTTCGAGTAGTTGGCTCTCATCAGTACAGAGCGCTCTTAGAAAGCTTCTTGACCGCTGTCTGGTGCGATCCTGACCTAACGTAAACGCATCTCAGCATTTATACTCCACGAGGCCTCCAACGTCTGCAAAATAAACGCGAATGGATGATTTGATTCACTCAATTACCTTTGTTCCTTAATTCCTGGTAAAAATGACATCATTAACAGATTATGATCCCAGTTATTTATTGTTATCCTCTATATTTATTGCAAAGAGCTTCTACTCGTGATAATTTTGAGGAATTTCAATTTGATAAGTGCATGATGAATGTAACCAAGTAATGCTTCGATAATTTTGATATAATCAATATTATTATGATGATGTATTTTGAACATTTATTCATAAGACATATGAGACATAACCTCAATTCTTCGTCTTCTTCTTTTACTACCTGGCTTCGATTACACGTTATTTCATGTAATGTCATCTGGAGATATCCATAGGCACAAAATCCATTTCATCCTCAGGCGATTGTGTGCTATCTGAGCACATTGGAAAGAGAGATCATTCGATTGGTCAGAATAGAATCAACTAGACTATTGATTTTTATATCCGTTGGCACTCATTCCCAAAATTCAGAGCTCATATTCATTGATATCACTACAATATTTTCAATAATTGATATGCATTCTAGCACTTCAACTGAAACCACTTTTTCAGAGCTATTTTTTATTCATGCTTTGTTCATACTGAAAACGACCACGTCACTTGTGTTCATGTTGGAATAGCATTTTTTTCCAGTTGACTTTTCGATGACCGATAAACTAGAGTCAATTCAGATTGAGTCGGCATTTTGATGACCTTTACGCTGCTTTCAAAATATTCGTAGAAAAGTTTGAGAGCAAATCTAATGTTATTCATGGATATGAGTGTTTAAATGTTTGGGGTTAAGTTGATAATAACAATCAGTGTTTTCCAACATTCACTAACATATTTCTATTCTATCGTATATGCACACTTCAAGGCCGAACATTGACTACCCATTTTCACTAGTGAAAAGTACATGGGCGACTCGCACTTTTTCATAACCTGGAGCACAATCACTACACCTTCTTCCCAATAATCCCAGTTGTAATCAATCTCTGAGGTAGTTTCTTTCGTATTATAGAACTCTATTAGGATTCTCTGAATCTTCTTGATAGTGATCGTATAGCAGAGTACTAAATGATACTCTTGATGCACACCTTTAGTGAGAATAAGTATATTCACTCGATTGTGAGACTGATATAAAAAATTAACTTGTATAGGTCTATGTCCATTATCACATATTTTTCATGGTGATATGTGTCATATGTATCCAATTTCGAATTATTCAATATAACACATATTTTCACAGGACTATTACGAAAGTTCGATTCTGTTCTTTTAGTACCTGCTAGATGAAGACGGTATACTCACTTCAACTACAACAAGATCAGAAACCTCATATGGGACATAATTGAATGCTACATTGTGTGAAACACTTGTATAAACTTGATCTACCCGGTAATTGCAAAAATGATCTGTCGAACAATGATGAAGAACTCTCAGTTATCGGGTGATAATTGTCGGTGATTTGGCAAATCGTAGGCTATATATAGATATAATCTTTGGTAGGAGTCCATAATGCTCAAAGTGGAGTGAAATATTTCACAGGAAGGAAGGAATGCTCGAAGTCATCTCCACAAATTTTAATGATATTTTTAACTAAATCATGAGGGACATGTCTCGGTCTTATAAAAGACCATCTTCAGCCTGATTGAAAGGTCTACAATACAAAAACAAATGATATTGAAATGAAAGGATTACCTTCTTTATGCTCGACTTACTTGGAGTTGAAAAAATTTTTAAATGCTACTATTCCTTGAACTGTCAATGCCCATAATCGAGAGTTCCAAGGTTCTGAATAAACGGGTTCTCAATAAATGAAGGGCCCCGTGCCCTGAGAGCGTATACTATGTTTCATTAATGAACATTCCATATACCAAAAATGGTATATGAAGGGGATTGTCAAACAGTTTATTATCTGACTAACTAGCGGGTTTTTGAAAAAGGGTTTCCCCGTTCTCTTATGAAGGCGTTATTTGAAGGCAAATATATACTAAAAGTTCATTTGCGAACCACATCCTAAATTCACACCATATTTTTGATCCAAATCAGGATCTTAAAATTCTACATGTCTGTCCAAAAGGTAGGTTACTGAATTTACTGGAGATTTTCGAAATTAATTCTTCCTTGAATGATAATTCTGTCTTGTCTCTTAATGAGCAAACACATTTTGATTGTATAAAATTTTTCAATGCTTCGGATTTAAATCACTGATAGTTCACCTACCTTGGTCCCAACTTATTTTATGATATTTCATAGTCAATGATTTTTCAGGTTTCTCAACTCTCTCCTACATGTATCCCCCCTCCTAATTCCAAATTCTCCAATAGTTGTAATAGATATTGTTATATGCCTATGCTCATGGTCACATTTTTATGTTTTATCCCTTGACACTGACATTGACTCTATGTCAACGTCTTGCCCATGTCTTCGATTGACATAATTTTCAGTGTTTTCTAACCAAATTAGTTCAGATTTAAAACACGTGCTAGCTGCTTGCCCCATCAATTTTATTGATATTTGCCTTTAAATAACGCCTTCATGAAGAAACGAGGAAACCCCTTTTTTAAAAACCCGCTAGTTTATGGTGTTGTCAGATAATAAACTGTTTGAAAATACCCTTCATATATCATTTTGGGTATATGAAATGTTCATTAATGAAACATAGTATACGCTCTCAGGGCACGGGGCCCTTCATTTATTGAGAACCCGTTTATTCAGAACCTTGGAACTCCCGACGGGCATTGACAGTTCAAGGAATAGTAGCATTTGATAATAGTTATTTAACCAACTAGTATATTAATGAGGGCGATTAATGATCGAGATATTTTAACGTGCGAGCGAAGCGAGTGCGTTAATGTTCGAGATCATTAATCGCCTTTTAATATACAAGTTGGTTACAAAATTTTTCCGTCGACTATATTTCTCATTTCTCCTGCAATGAAGAAAACTTGGTTCGCGAATTCATCATCCATCCGGAAACTGCTAAGAATCACCCAGTAGCCTTGTTACTGACATTAGTGTCATTTGACATTTGTCGGAATGATCAACATAGGAAATAAATTCCTTGTGTTAGAAAACAGGGAATAAGATCGTGTCAGAAACTTGAAAAGGCGAACCCGTTAACGGAAAATCGTCGATGAAATCCATATTTTCGATTTGAATGCAGACTCTAACGCTAGTTATAGCATAAACAATGAATGCACGCGGTGTATGTTTGGTTGCCTATAAAACAATCGTGCATTAATAGACAAATCGTTCATTAATAGGGGTCATTAATGAACGATTTCATATACATTAAACTTAGTCGTTAATACGAGGTCGACGGAAAAATATTTTTTTTCAACCCGAAGTAAGTCTAGCATAAAATAGGTAATCCTTTCATTTCAATATCATTTGTTTTTGTATTGTAGACCTTTCAATTAGGCTGAAGATGGTTTTTTATAAGACCGAAACATGTCCCTCATGATTTAGTTGAGAATATCATTGAAATTTGTGGAGATGACTTCGAGCATTCCTTTCTTCCTGTGCTATATAGATATGTTTTTGTTACGATTCCTATAGGCCAAGAGGTTCTTGGACAATTTCCATCGATTTATACAAGATCACTAATTTTTGATCGTGTGTTCTTTTCCATCCATTCTCCTTTTCTAGGAATAATAGTTAAAGGCAGGTAGGTGTTCAGTAACTTCCTCTCCTAGAATCTTCGTTAGGATTTGAGCTATGTTCCATTGGCAACTTATACAGAGATATTCTTTTGTTAAATCACCAGTAGTAATCCATTTCTTTCTAGTACCAATTTGAATATGATTTGGTGATGAACATTACATTTCTTTGTGATTTATTGATACGTGGGTCAGAGGCCTAAGGTTCACAATATTCTCGACTTCATCCATCAAAGCAACCATCAAAGTTTCCAAAACTCCTCTTGGAGTGAGAAGTGAGTAGAAATGCCACCCGAAGTCAGTAACACAGTACTATCTGCTTTTTGTGCATAATCAACATAATTTTCTTCCTCAAATTTCAGTTCATTCAATTCCAATTCGTATATTTCTGATTCCATTTTCTAGCTTTTTTTATAATCCTGCTATCTTAGCGTCTCTTTGCAGCCATGATTTCTTGAATGAAATAGTTTCAGATTTGAATTTCATGGATTTTTGCTGGAATCCTCGCTGACATGAGGATTCTTTTGCTCTTTTTGGGATACCAATTGGAAAATAATTCATTGACTTTTGTTAAATATATCTAAGAAGTTCCTAATTCCTCCATCGAACTTTTTTCCACTTGATTGTTTTTTTCTGGTTCGAATGCTCGAAGAACCGAAATGTAGGTGATTTGGCAAATCGTAGGCTAATAGGGCCTATCAGGCCTAATAGGCGAGCTGGCTAATGAATTGTGGTTTCCCACTCAATTCATCTATAATACTCATCTATATTGAGAACAAAAATAATAATATATGAAGACATCGCGAACCTTATACAAAATGATTCATTTAGTATTAATCTTCAACAATAATTATTCTGCGCCCGAATCTCCTGATCCATTGTTTGAATAGGGAGACATCGAAGTATTCCAATAACTACCTCCTTACCTCATCTCCCCAAGGTGAGCACGTTGTTCCTCGAACATTATAGGGATTCTTTTGCATGCGCTCCAAGACTGTACGGAAAATCTATATGTATTCACAAATATATTCGCAGAAGATCTAATGACGCTGAACAAAATGTTGCAGGAATACTTCAGATACTCTAGTTCACAAATCTCGTAATTACCGTCTTTCTTCTGACGCCTTGATTGGAATGTGTCACAAACGTATTTTGTGGCATCATTGCCATATTTTGCATCATCATTGTTTTATCGTTGGGACATAATTGTGGGATTATCAAAACGTACTTAGTAGACAGACATATATATATTACAAACACAATCATTCTCTGTAACATTCTAATTACATGTCGAATGAATTTATTATGATCATCATCATTTTAAAATGAAATCGTTTATTTTTCAGGCAGCTTATGTCAAATCAAAAGGGTTCAAAGGAGTTAATGTGTGGCCAATCGATGGAGATGATGTTCGTGGGAAATGTGGAACAAAACAGGTTTTATTGAAAGCTGTCCATGAGGGATTGGGTGGGACTTGAATATGACTACACATTGTACTTGCATAAATATGATCTCATGTGTTGAAAATATAATAATATACCTCTTCATCAGTTGAAATGAGATTGGTCGATTTTATTCCAATTATCTGAAGGATAAACTATGAACAAGAACCTTATTTTTTTGTTAATGCTAGTATTACTGGTATCACTTGTCACCTGCATCTTAGGTCGACACTAATGCTTGCTTGGTTATTATCGGAGCTACAAAGTAAGTTGAATTAGTAAATCAGTTTTTTTCTTCAACATCGCGTTCACGGTGAGTCGAGAATTTTGATTTCTCTTATTGATATACGGAAATCACAATATTATTATTTGACAAGAGATTCGCTTCTGAACATTGAACAATAACTGTCTCATATAGCTTCATCATAAATTCGAAAATGTCTGAGATATCGATATCTTTTCACATAATGGTAGGGTAAATTCGCGATGAGTAATACCTCGACCATCCTCGACTTACAACTTGACAAGCTTGACGAGTCATCGGATTTTTTGTCACTTCTGGATGTCCAAAAGGCTTTTGAGTGATTAATGGAAAAAATTATTTTTCTGGAACTTTCTGAAACGCTCTGAAACCATTGTATTTCGAGAACAAGGAAAGTTATTAAAGATGCGTGCAGGAAAACAAAATGTTACCAGTAAAATCATTCAAATAATTCCATAACCTGAACCTTCTTGCTCACAATAAGTTTTTAGACCACATTCTATAGAGAATCTCTGGAACATATTTGACAATTTTGAAGTTTCATGGTAGGTACCAAAAGGAAGGAGATGATGAATGTGAAATATCAGAATTTCAGTCGAAATACCTCGAAAAAACTCACCTTCATCATTTCATCAATCCTGGTAATAACTGAAACACTCAAATCTACGAAAGCACTGAAAGGGACACAGAAGATTTTCTCATTTGTTTAAAAATGTTTCCATTTTATATTTGAAATCAGATTCAGATTTCATATAATAAATTGAATTCAAGAGGGGTAGTATTCGTAATTGTCGTGTCGTCGAGATTGTCGTCCTGTACATGGGTTTGCATCAAGAGCCCAACTGTTAATGTCTGACAAATGCTCATATAGAGGAGGACAAATCAGTTAAATATCGAATAACGACAAGAAGGCGCTACATATAACCCCAAATAGGTTCGTCAAATATCATTTTTGTGGTAGACTGACAGTTGTATTATTGGTAGTGAGTGCAGTTCTATGCGATGAATCTCGCAGCCATGCTGTCCCAGAGTGGCTGCCTGATTTTAGCGACAGCAGCACCGAACATAAACTCTGCTATCATAGGATTTCAAGGTTCTGCTTTCATTTGAAAATGTATAATGGTAATATGATTTATTGTAATGATCGCAAGGAATATCTTAGCAAAAACTGTAAAAGCACAATTTTCTCAATGTCAGGTTTAATATAATGAAACTGTAAAAAATGAGAATACTGCTGATCATTTATATTTGGTTAAGTATTGGAGTGGCGTGGTCGAAGCAAAATTCAACACATATTGAAGCAAATTTTACAGAATGAGTATACTATCCCAGTGAACATTGAACTAGCAGGAGAAGTCCGGCCTAGTGTAGGCAAGTCTGGGAAACTGATGATGCCAGGGTATTGGTAATGGCTGATGATCTTCCTATGCTAAGTAACCATCAGTTTGGGATACGATGATGGCCCGATTATGAGATGTCTGGAAGTAATTGAACACTAACGAGCTGAGGCCCTTCGCTGGCCAATATTCTGTACACTAGTCTTTCCTCTGGTGTATGTTATATCATATATGACTCTTGTGATAGCGTATATTCCATTTTTCTCTGGTTAGATCGAGTAATTCTGCTCTTTACTTCCCCTGGCAGTTATTCATGAGAAAAAGGTTTTCTCAATTGATGATATAGAAGATGGATCGTTCAATTATGATCATATTGAGTGAGTATCAATCTACCTATCTGTTTGTTTGTTTGTAGAAATTCAACCGTTCGACGAATAGATGTTTGCTATTGCTTTTCGATTTCATCATCTAAATGAGTGGAGAATATACTACTTGTTTGCCCATTTTCCTCACATGCATATTAGAGACGATCATGTGGCGATTGATGCGAATATCGCCCTTAAAGGCCTCCTTATAAGGCAATGTGCACGAATTCATCAATTGATCTTCAGACCAGTGGAGAAAGTTATGTAGGTTCATTTCTCCATGGTGATCTTCATATTCAGTTTTTGAAGAAAATACTAATTCTGCAACACATCCATCATGTAGGACGATGAATCTCTAATATGAATCACATAATGCAAATTATATTCATTCATGAGAATCATAAAAAATACCTGGTACCTCCTACTTTGTTTTTTTTTCACACTTTTGACATTGTAGTCTTGCCATCATGAGTGTCCTGATGTACCATGCTGAAAGATCCAGGTCTCATCAAGGAAAACAAATTGTCTCAAACCTTCATTTTCCAATTGGTAGTATGTCTGCAGGAACGTAGTACACTTCAATGCAATGTGAGGTAGTTCCATCCTTCTTCTTCGTGGATCATATCTTTCCTTAACTTGAAGCAAATATTTTTCAACACTTTCCAGAGAGATGTGATGCCTCCATTAAAGAGATAACGTTCAGCAAGTTCATCTCTCAATGTTTTTAATGTAATGTGTTCCTCACTTATTGGAAATCAAACACATAGGTATTACCTAAAATTATCATTAATTCGCAGTGAAAATACTTACTGTTCTTATACATATCATAGATACAATTCCTAATTGCGACTTGTTCGCCATCATCCAAGTCTTAAATGGGTGTTTTTCTTCCCCAGCTCTTTTTGGAGCCTGTCAAATCATTACCATCTTCCTGTTTGGCAGATTTTCTGCATACAGTAGCGCGATACTAATTTTTAATGCAGCAGCTACTCTCTGTAACGCAGACAAATCATATTTGGATCATTCTGACAACACAAAATATCATTATTAATACCATCATTCAACTTACATCTCTCACAGCAGTAGGTGGTAGTAATGAGTCATCGTTATCACGTTTATTTTCGAAATATTGTACGCCTCCGCACTCTATGGTTCAAGCATTTTGAATAAATCAAATTTCACCAATGATCCACAAATAAATCACAAACAATTCCTAGAAAGTTCAAATTGTCAGTGATGAATGATTCGCAGAGATCAGCTGATCACAACAAATCGGTTCTAGAAATGTCAAATAAATCTGGCATTGGTGTACAGTTCTGCCAACTTAAATCGATAAAGCGGTTCGCCCATTTCGAAAGTCACTAGAATTTTTCGATGTGCAGTTTTGGCACGACATTGTTACTAAGTATTGCGCAACTATCAACCCAGCGTGAAAGCCCTTTACTACTCATTATGACGAAACACTTCGACCAAATTCTCATTCTCTCTTAATTTTTGTGTTTTCGCCAGCGTAAAAAATTTTATATACACCTTTGGACAGAATGCTATTTTTCCCTCGGTTTGTATCCCACCTTGAGAAACATTTCACATTTCTGTCTCTTGATGTATGATGTACTATTCCATGTATACTCTCAAGTATTCTCACAAACAAACGTTTCGGTATAATGAAAAAAACGAATTCAATCAACTAATTCGACCTCTATTACACGTGGTAGCTCTGTGTCCCAGAAATACTAGGGCAACCTGTATATTCCATAGCTACATAGGTATGCACTATCCGTTCCTTTTCTAATTTCAATATGATTCTCAATCATTTATTCAATGTTAAAAAAAAGAAGGTAATTCCTGGACTGACATATCATATTCTACAGTGTCATTCATAAAGTCGGTATCATATGGGAAGAACTGTCAATGCCAATTCATTTCATGATTCGATATGGGCGTTACGTTCTGCTTTGGAAAAAATGAAGATTGGACTACTCGGTTGGGGTCACGTGACTTTCGCTACAAGTCAAAAGTAACTCTTTTCAAATTTCGAAAATGTTCACGAAAAAGTGATTCCAATTTCAGATATTGTCACGAGTAGAACATACAGTATATTAATAATTTGGAACCATGAGGGTTTTATAAACATAAAATTCATCAGATCATCCATTGACATTGAACTATGAAAACTGATCAAGGAACTCTCATGAGAAACGTGCATAATGTTTTATGCTATAATAAATATTGTTATGTTTGAATATATTCTCATACTTTCAGTTACCCCTGAACTATTAGTAGAATATTTGAATTTTACCTCTCGCAAACTATTAAGCCAAGGTTACCCCTTTTAAATCGATATGGATGGATTAACCATCTATCTATCATGACATGGTGGAAACACAACTCCTTTGTTGTGACAATATGTGCCTGAAATTTGAACGATCAATTACAATTTTCAGTTTATTTTTTTTTTCAAGTTCTACGGAATTTCGGTAGCATTTTCGAATGATTATTAACACCAGCAAAACAATTTCATCCAATGGCTTCATCATGCGCCTAACTTTCAATCACTAATTATCGACAAAAATATGGGAAATAACAGTCCCCGCTTCAAAGTTCTGTTATGTTTGATAAAAAATTGATGTATCGTCTATCATCTGGAAGCGAAATCTATTCGAATTGATTATTTCAATAGGTACTAAAATGATGCCAGAGACATCTCTCGAAATATCATCAAACTATACATTACGTATCTAATCAAATTTAAAGACGAGTTTGTTGAATTAACAGTTAGAAGAAATGAAAAGATATCAAGAAATTAAAATTGCGCGAGAACGTTCAAAAACCCAATACACATGTCTTTTCGAATTGGAACAGTAACAACTTTATTTTGTAAACTTTTCTCGAATTAGAACAAATTAGTCAATTTCCTTCGATTATTTTGAGAAAAAGAAATTTTTGATATGAATGTATTGAAAGTCACGTGACTTTGGCCAAGCAGGCCATTTTTCAAATTTTCTGAAGCAAAACTCAAAGCACTAGTCGAATTTCGGAATGGAATATTATCAACAGTTTTGTCATATGATGCCAGACACTAACTGGAATGCTCTGGAATTCATTGCCTGAGGAAGTATTTCCAAAAACTCATGATCTCCTAGAGTTCAAATAATAATCCAAAACCCCCTTCTCTCCCTATCCTTC